TCTCCGGATCTGACGCGAATCAAAAGTAGGTCCATGACCAACCATTCTTTTGGGTAAGGACCAACCACTCTTTTGGGGTCGTGGAGACTCCAGGTACTGCGATTTGACACGAGAACAAAACGATGAAGCAAACCACCGGAGCCAAATCTGTGTTCAAGCCAGAAATGTCTCGGAGCAGCACCTTCACTCTGCACATATACCCTCTTCTCCTAGCACCTTCCTTCAAGGCAACCTCTGCCAATACTACCTGAAGATACTGAATCTGCACAGGCTGTCATACTTCACCGAGCAAACATTCAGCAACCCCAACAAAATCTCATAGAGGACGGGCTCATTTGACTAGCCATGTCAGCAGGGTTTGATACAGCATTCGTCGCCCAGGCCGCACAGGCGGAAGGCAGGAAGGTAAGACACACCTTTCGCAAGTGGCTCTGCAATCTCCATGATCCTTTCAAGATGGGTCATGGTCCCTAATGTGTGGTGTAAATGGCCCCCCCAAGGAGACTCCAGGTATAAGTCACAAACTGGAAGAAGGAATCTCCTATGGTACCTTCATGCGTGGGCTCATTTTAAGCCCACATTGCCCATGTGTTTTTGTGCACTGCAGGTCGTCTGCTTTTTCCTGCTCGGGTGATGAGCCAAACAGCCAGTGGCCAGGGCAAAAACGCATGCGACCTTATTTTGTTTGGGCTTCGGTTTGTCACCCCCCCCCCGGGAAAAAGAACGCACGCACATCCCGAAGACCAACTGAGGAGACATCCAGGCCAATGAAAACACTTCTAACGGCGCTTCAAACACAACCCAGTGGATCCCAGTCACCTGGTGGGTAACCCTTCGCCATCTTCCTTTTGGTTGTTGAAGGGTTCCTTTTCTTACCCACAAAACCAGAACGGATCCGGGAAAGGAAAGAACCCGAACACCGGCGAAACGCGACCTCGACTTGCCCCTTGGGCCCACACCAAGCCCGGCCTCTTCATGGCCTCATGACTCGAGTGCCCTAACAATCCTTTAATTCACAAAAGGGCAATGGCAAAGGGTTATTTAGGGGTTTTCATGCGGCGACCGCTTTCCCAGACGGATTCATGGAAGAGCCCTAGCACGCAACACATTCCAGCTCTGCGATGCAAACTTGACAGATGATGCGACACCAGCCTCCAATAAAAATCGGGGGGAGGGGCAAGGGGCGAGTCACCGTGGGATAACCTCCATTTGCTTAAGCCCCCCTGGAAAACAAACACAATACTTCCAAACGTGATGGATTCCCTTTAATTCCAACAGGGGGACACATGCTCACGAAACTGAGCGCATCACCCCAATTGACTCTTCCCGTGTTCCGCGAAAGAACTAAGGACAGATTCCTCTATAGATTCCTCTGGGGCTCACCATTAAAACAGTGGTTGGGTTCGTCTAATCACCATTGTTTGCCTAAGGATTGTCCTCATCCAAATTAGACCAACCTTTTGTTGTCTGGGGGCAAGGAACCTTAGGGTATCTTTTGTTGTCTGGGGGCAAGGAACCTTAGGGTATCTGGTTTTCTGCCTTACCTGGAGCTCACCTCCGTCTCTGGGTACCTGGAGCTCGGTACTTCTGGATAACACAAGAACACCTTGTTCTGGACACAGTGAGCCTTCGGGTTCCTTGCCCCCATTAACAGAATGATTGACCCAAATTTGATGACAATCCTTAGGTGCACAATGATGGTTGGATGAACCGCCAGTGTTTTAATGGTGGTTTGAACCCCAGGCTGAGTTCACAGGGGAAACGCTGGTTTGTCTTGGTCCTTGGAAATGGCTGTAGGTTACCCCCCAAAAAAGGAAAGCACCGAAATCTGACTGTAGCAAGGTTGGCCACAACGTAACATCCACAGTTGGCTTTAAATCGAGATTGGTTTCCCTTCAACACAGCCTCAAAAAGCAAACACACACACACACACTCTCTTGTTGAATCCCTTTTTAGCTGAGGGGATCCTCTGAAGACTACCTTTCTGCGGGCCAAACCACATGCCTTAGGCCGAAAGTGGTATTTTTCCCTTTCATGTCCCTTCAAAACAAGCCCAAGAAGGGCGATCCTCAAAGAAAGACACGCCCATATATACCGGTGCGTCCTTTTTTCGGGGCTCCCCAAATAGTTTGTGGCTTCAAGGAAAACTAACAGGAGAACAACATGTGTGTACTGGAGTCTCCGTGACCCTTCAACAATGAGCTCAATACCCAAAATAGTGGGGTCGTGGACCCCCGTTTTAAAAGGGTCATGGAGACTCCAGGTACTGGTGCTGTTTTGGGGGGTCCCCAAATAGCTTCTGGCTTTAAAGGAAACCCAAGGAGATAAACAACATGTGTACCTGGAGTCTACATAACCCTTAAAACATGGCGTCATTACCCACAATAATGGGGTCATGGACCCATTTTAAAAGGGTCATGGAGACTCCAGCTATGTTTTTTTTTTTGGAAGGGGGGGGGCATCCAACCGAGAAAACGCGAAGAAACAGCAACGACCCTGAGCGCCAGCCCTCTCGCCTCGCCCATGCGCCAGGAGAAGGACTTCACACGCTCGAGGTCCAGATCTCCGAGGCCCTCGGGTCCCAGGGGTCCCAAGGCTCCAACCCGAAGCAGCCTTAGGTTTTGTGTAGGGAAACGTCGGGATGGCCTGCTTTGGCACACCAAGGGCAGGGTTCCGTCTAGTTCCCTTTTTGGCGCCTGTGGCAATTTCTAGTGAGTTTCTTTTTGATAGCTCGTTGTAAGGGGAAAACTTGGGACCACCTACCAGCCCTTCTGGCTTCCCACAAAAATCCCTGGTTTCCCAACACCTTTGGTGGTTCCTTACTGCAGAACAAGCACCTGGAGTCTCCATGACCCTTTAAAAATGGGTCCATGACCAACCATTATTTTGGGAAATGACCAACCATGTTTTAAGGGTCGTGGAGACTCAAGGTAGGGAAAACTAAGGAACCCTGCAAAACCCCAAGGAACCCGTTTTGGGAACCTGTTTCGGGAACCCTAAAGAACCCAGAAAAGAGGTAAGGAACCCGTTTCGGGAACCCGAAGGAACCCGTTTCGGGAACCCTGAGGAACCCATTTGGGGGCTCTCAAGCCACCCCGCTCGTACCCCTCCATAATCTCTGAGAGGGGAAACCAGCAAGTCCCGGAGACAGCCGCAAATCAAACTGTAAACATACCATGAAGCAACAGTAGTGGCAAACTGTGAAGACTACACCCAGGTGTTGCAAGCGACCCCAGCCCTCTTGCAATCTTCAGCGAAAACGCTTGCTACGTTGTGCGCCAAGGAAACCTCCCCCCGGCGTACTAGTTGCCGATTGGTTGCCGATTGGTTTTGCCATGAGTCGATGAATGACACGGGAACCAGACTTTGGGCCCCCTTTTAAGGATTCCCAAAAGGAGGTGGTTTTGCGCATTTCAACATCTTCACACACAGGGGTGGCCCCCTTACGGAAGCCGCTGACAGGAACAGTCTCGGTGCCCGCACCGATTCGCTGACGCGCCGCGGCGTCAACTCCTTGTCCAACTTCTCCGAGGAGTGGCAGTGAATGTGAACCGTCTTCCTGGAGGGCAACTTGCTACCCGCGTCCGAGCCATGGATCTTGGGGCAACATCATGAGTGTTTCTAGAGTCCGTTTCAGCGACTCGGGGTGTGAGACGGGGAATGGGTCCCGGGTTCTGCATCCCGAGGACCCGGGTATCCGCCAGACTATGAAAGGAGCCGCTTCATGAGTGAACATCGCAAACCCCCCAAGTGAGGATTTTTTTTTACCGTGTCTGGCGGAAATGGGGTGTTCTTGGAAGTCATTCCTGGATGGATACGGCCCAAAATGGTGCGTTGTTCAACTTGGTCCCTTTCAATCTCCAAAAATTGGCAGCCTCAGGAAAGACGCACCCTGGATCTTGTTCAAGCAAAACTACGGTTTTAGTCAATCCTGGACTAAGACGAAGCGCAAATTTAAGTGGTGTCTTATCCCAAAAGATGAAAGAGTTGTTTGACCATGCCTTTTTTTTCCGGGCTTTCTTTCGGGCACGTGCTGGGCGTGGGCGGAGACAGCAAACACGGTGGCAGTGACGGGTAGGCTCCAGAATTGGCCAGGCAGAGTCCCTGTTCCAATGTGAACCAGGGCACGACACCCATCGATGCCACCCATGTTTTCGGGCCCAGTAACAAAGTCAGAGAAAAGCAGAGTCATAGGCACCCAATAAAACAACCCATGAGTGGCGGAGCGACGACCAACATTGCCTTGCATCAATTTGGCCTTGCCAAATCGGTCGGATTAAACACCCTTTTATTCAAACCATAGCCTTCGAAGGCTCCATTGAAGTGCCATCCTCAAAGTTACCCTCTCCACGGTGGTTTCAGGCTCAAACCACAAAGTCGTTTTGAGAATCTGACTTCCGATCAAGTGGACCGGCAAAGAAAGAAGTTCGACCTGTTGGTTTTTACTAAACTGGCTTTCCCCAAAAGTTTAAAGTCCCGGAACTCAGGGAGTGAGACACGGGGGTGTCTCTTCGTGTTGGGGGCACCCCTTGTTTGGTGGTTTGAAAGGAAAACCACAGGCCAGCACCCTCCAAGGGTGGCTTTTCCGGTTTCCCAAAATGGATCGGCCAGCTTGTGTGGTTGAACCATGTTGGGTATCAGTGGGTTGTTAAAATTTGGAGGGCGCCACCAATTTGGGGGGAGTCCAGCCTGACGAGCCATGCAGCCGCTTCAATGGACCCTGGGAGCTCAAGCCTGGCATGACCCAAGTTGAATCCCTGGTGAAGAGATCAAACGAAAAAAAAAAAAAAAAAGAACATGGGAAAAACAAAAAAAACATTGAAAAACAGCTGTTTTTCACCCAAGCTCCCGCAAACTACCCCCGCGTGGAAGTGGGTAACACACCGTCGACTAATCGGTCTTTCAAAATAGGGATTGCAGGCGCTTCTTGACAACTGAGAAACCGGGGAACCGACCACCCAGAAGAAGCCCATCTTGACAACCCAAATGGGCTCGTCTTTTTCTTAGGAATCGGACCCCCCCCCAAAAAAAAAACAAAACAGCTCGGTTCTTCCTTGTTGTTTCCCTCCACCAACGATAAGGGGTCTCAAAAAAAAGACGAGCCCAACGATCGCGTCACCACCCGGCAACCGCCTGCCTTCGATCCTGCGGGTTCAGCAGTGCATGGTCGTAATCCCCCTCCGAGGTCTTGGAGATCAGCACCTAAGAAACACAATTCGAAACCACCTTGATCCTCAACCTACCCATGAAAGAAGGAATTAATTCACCAACTATAGTGTTGGGTTGCAAAAAACCATCTTCAAGTTGGTATTTTGAGGTCCAGGCTGGATCTGAGCCCACAGTGGATGGACAACACCCTGTTCGCACCACCGTTCAGGAATCCTGGCATGGTGAGCCTGTAAACTCCAAGCAACAATGGTATGGTTTCAAAGTGGTGCGAAATGGATTTCATCCTTCAGTATCGGTATGGGCTCATCTAATTACCTGGAGTCATCTACGGTTCCACTGCACCTGGAGTCAAGACCCGAGCCCCTTGAATGGTTACCCCGGAAATTGTTGGTCTCAACAATGTCTTGAGTCACGGAGACTCCAAAGGTAGAAGTAGGTGGTCTTTTTCTCAAACGCATGCCCCCCAATGAGTTTAAACAAGAAACCAAAACAAAACCAACAATGGGAAGCCTCAGCAGAACATGGGAATCGCTTTTTTGGGGTTGATCATTGTTAGGAAGACCCACCAAACCAAAAGGCTTGTGGGGGACCGACTAAATGGGGAAAGGGGTACTGAACAACGGAAGCACTATGTTTCATGCCTTCGGACCCTGGAAGATTTCATTTATCTACCAGGAGTTCTTTCTATGAGGCAATTAGACAACTACTCACATTGGTAACATGTCCATTAACCTATCTTGGGCTCATGGAAAGCAACATGTACCCACAAAAGGTCAAGTTTGCAGTGTGCAGTCAACCAAACGACACTGCGTTGCCAGCAGTCTGACACACACACACACACAAACACACCTGGAGTCTCCATGACCCTTTAAAAATGGGTCCATGACCCCATTGTTTTGGGTAATGACCCCATTTTTCAAGGGTCATGGAGACTCCAGGCACACACAACCTTCTCACTTGGCGACTGCAGCTGCCAAAGCACGTGGCGAGACTCCAAAAAGCACTTCGAATTGGTCTCCTGGAACCCTGAAGTAACTCTAGTTCCACCAATCCATGGAGGCGGAAAAGAGGCCTCTGGAAAAATACCTGGAAGATCAGATTCCTCTTGGAGGGACCCCCTGTCAAGTCTTGCAAGTGTCATGGCAACGTGGGAAAGAAGGTAGTCTTCTAAACACCTCCTGTCCACTTCAGTTGAAAAGAGGGTTCTGCCATGAGACTAGGAATTCGCTTGGATGATGCGCAGCAAGCCCCCAGTATCAGCAGCTGGCCCCGGTTGACGTTGACACAGCTATCAAGTCGGACCAATGGGGGTAGGGCCTAGGGCCCTTAGGGGGCGGTCCACCCCGAAAAGTCGGGGATCCTCACTGAAGATGCGACTCCCCAATTTTAATCAATGAGGGGGATGCGAGTGAAGATGTAGATGCCCCTTAAACCCTTGTCCAGCTAATTATGCAAGGCAACCGCAGACCAACAAGCACTTTCTTCGGCCACTCGATTGCCAGCCAAGGGAAATGAATCAGAACTTGGAGTGCAAGAAGGAGGAGAAGTGCTCTTTAGTTTCTGCCTTGCTCTAGCCCAACTTGCTCGACGAGCTACACATGTGCTGCCCCAATCTTGGTTTCTTAGGACAGACTGCAGAGGCTCGGGCCAACCTTGAAACATGTTTCACTCGTCTAAACTTTTGGCTCAACGCAGTCATGAGTCATACTAGAACCTGGCAAAATGGCCCTGGGTGTCGGGCGCATCTAAGGCGCCCACCCTAAAGTGGCAAGCTTCGACCGTCCGAAGCGGCCGCACCCCCAAATATGCGGAAACTGGCGCGGTGCCCGCCACAACTGCGCGGACGCTCTTCTGATACATCACGGGAGACCAGAGAATGCTATCGGCGCGGTAGTGCTTCACTTCAACCTGACCAGTGGATGGACGCTAATTGTTGGTTCTCAGCAGGGAATAAGGAAATGACCCCCCCAAAAAAAAAATCCCCTTTGGCTTCCTTTAAGGGAATCCCTTGGTTCATTCCCAACATCCTGAGTCATTCCCTACTGAGCACCAAGCAAGTTATAAGGGTTGACCCGGATATCTGCCAGAGGGAGTGAAGCCTCTCTACCTAAACTGGCGAAGTGGCCGCTGTTTTTGCTCAAGACGGACATGAACCTCTCCTTACGCCGCGCGTCTCAAAGGGACGCGACTCAAAACTTGGGGAAACCCCACACACGCACCCCCACAAGTTGCAGCCAGGATTTGACCGGGAATCGCGGGCAATTCTGGCACGCCTGAATACTGAAATCATAATATGTTCCCCTTTTTCGGAACCAAACAGCCACCAAGGCTTCCTAATTCGGTCACCTTCATATCTTCCAGCCACGGAGGAACCAAGCTCTCAGGCTGCAGTTTGGGTTTGGTTTCTCCTCAGAAGGAACTGCAGACTTGGGTCATGCCCCATGCAGGTGTTCGAGGGCACTTAAAAGGCAAGGTTGGCGCAAAGCTACACCAAACGCCGTTCGTGCTTACCTTACAGGAAGTGAAGACATGAGCAGCGCCCTATTTCCTACGGTCTGACCAACTTTATTATTAATTTGAAGCCGGCACGCTTTCCTAGACATCATTCTTCGGTGATTCATGCTAGCAACCACATTGGACAAATCAAATCGCTCAGCTTCCACCGAACTGGTGGTTTGGATTCGTGATTTGGTGGCTTGGTGGTTAGGGGTAGTTGGACCACGGCTTATATTCCGCCGTGCGTCAATCAGCATTTTGTCTGACTGTGGCTTCGTCGGTCTCATTGGTTGGGGTTGGGGGGGTGGGGGGTGGGGGGGGATGTTGTCGTTCGTGGGGACTGCATCAACGTTCGCTGTTAGTTTTGGCTCAAATGTTCTTGTGTGAAGACGCTCGTCTGGCTTTGGGTCTGATCTTGGTTCTTCGTTGCGCTGGCTGTTCGCACTGGCTGCGTGGTCACTCAAGCCTTGGTCCGTTCTTTGAGGTTTGTCCGATATATCTAGACTCTCTTTTTGACGTGGTCACGCAAACTGCTGACCCGTTCCTGGCTTTTGTGGCTGAGGTTGTGCTGATTCCTCATCGGTTCCCTTTGGAGTTCGACTGTCTCGGTCCTTGCTTGCGTTTGCCTCCCACGCAGGTTTTGGACAGGACCTGGCAGTCTCTTAAGACTTGGCTGCCACCGAAGGTGTGTGCCAAGATTAAAGTTGACGGATCTAGCCAGTTCCACCCTGCTGTGAAACAGCAGGTTTTCCAGTGGAACTGGCGGCAAACGCTAGGTGCTCGAAGCCCTGGCGAGTTCTTGGCTGATTTGGAAGGTTTGCTGTAATCAGAAACGCGGTCGGTGTTTGAGTGAGAAAAAACCAGTGCACCTTGCCGATTTCACGCTAGTTTGCGAGGAACAAAATCCTTCTTTTCACTGGCAAAAACCAGCGAAAATGGTAACCCTGCTTGGAGAGAGCGCGCAAGCGCATGGAAACCATTCAAGGTGGAGATTCGTTGGCATTTCCCAGTGGAAATCACGTTCCAGGCTTGACTTGAGACAGCGAATTGCCATTTCGAGTCACGGCGGAATATGAGCCGTGGTCCTAGTTTCCCATTTACCCTCTACGAGAACCAGACCCGAAAAGATAAATAAATCCAACCCGCCAAAGGGTTGCCTGATTCACGGTCATCTCTCTAGGGGTACCTTCCCCATTCTTTCCAAAAATCGTTTTTTCTGGAAAACCTCCAGAATCCCAGGATTCGGAAACGGTGATCGGTTTTTGAGAAGAACGATGGTTAAAAAGAATGGGGAATCATCTTTCCAAAAACCCTTCTTTCTACCAAGCCTCCAGAATCCCAGGGGAAACGGCTGGTTTTTGAGAAGTCAACCCCTAGAGTCTCACGTCCGCATTTGTTTTTTGCGTCACGCACCTTGGCCAGCAAATGTTGGGTGAAGCTCTGGCAGTGGGAGAAGAGCAGCAGCTGGGACACCCGGGACCACAAGATCTTCCGCTCCTCTCGCCCATGAGAAAAAGAAAGAAAGAAGAAAGCCCAGTGGATCCATTGACCCGTTTTCAGATCCGCTAAAAGTGACTAACTTTTAGTGGGCTAAATGGAAACTGCCACTAAACACTAAAAGGCTAAAAGGCTACAGTAAGGGGATGGCTGGGAGCCACCAAGTCTACCAATTGGTCATTACACACGCTGAACAAATATGACAACTGAAACCAACACATTCAACAAACTCGGGTCCCTTCACACCTTCTCGGGGACCCAATGATCCCTTTTAGCCCATGCTCAAAGGGTACCAAGGGCCCCTTTGAAAGATTTAACTCCCCTTCATAGGCTTCCTTTCGGTAAAATAGATGGTCCCGGTAGTGGGGCATAAAACCAGTGTCTATTGCAACTAATCTAAACAGGACACCTATGGCAACTACCCTTCTCACTTCCTGAGTGGATTGGCCTAACAAGTCCAGAGTTTTAACTGTTTGTTTGCCACTAACATGGTCCAAACCCCAAAAGTGGCCATGGGTCAACAACCTGTACCCCAGTGAACATCCCAATCCCCACTAAAATAGATTAAAATAGGTTCTAAAATGAGTGGTGCACCCACCCCAACATGGGGATACCATTGGTTTTAAACCCCCATTCCAAGTGCCCTTTTTCATGTCCCCGAGTCACGGAACTCAACTCGAGCCTTTGCCCCCTGGCCCCCCTGGGCTCCCAGCCCCCACTTCTCCTGCTGGGAGATGAACTCCTCCATGAAGGGCTTCGCGTGCGAGTAGTACTTCAGGATCTGAGTCGCAGGCAGTCCAGCATGATTACTCGGGTGCGGTTGCGGAATCTGCTCTGCCAAAAGTGGTTCACTTTTAGTGGTTTAATATGGACAATTTATTAGTTGGCCAAAATGCTATGGTCCTAACATCCAAGCAAAATGCACCAAAGATTAAACTACCATCCAGCGGGTGTTTCTGCAAATTGAGGGACGCCAACCGCATGGCTGGGTTCCTTTTGGCATCCCTTTGCAACCAACAAAACCTTGGGGCTTCCCTTGCCCAAAACAACCTGCGCCCCCACTTTGGACCCCTTTTCTCTGCCTTACCCCTTTTTAAGGGTGAAAGGCAGAAAAGACAGGATCTCTTGGGGGTTCAGGAGGACCAGAACACACTGCCCGCGCCATTCTTTGTCTTTCTTTCCGAGGAAAAACAACCAACAACAACGGGGCTCAAACTGGCGGGTCCAGGAAGACAAGGCGACGCCTGGTGCAGGTCAGCCAGCTGCAAGCACCAGGCGATCACCGGCACCTGCGCCGTGCGCAAGGTGAAGGGCTGGCGCTCCGACTTCCCGAAGACCACCGAGTCCCCGAAGATGCCCTGGCCGCCCTCCTGATGGAGAAACTCGCCGTGGAAAAACCAGATACTCCCTTGATTGAGCTTGGTTGCTGTTGACTCTGCAAACAGTTCAACTTGTGGGTTCAATTCAGAAAACCCTTGATTTCAACCAAACAGCATAAGTCTACCTGGAGTCCCCTTCTGACCCTTACAAAATGGTTGGTCATGACCAACCATTTTTTGGTTAGTGACCAACCATTTTTTAAGGGTCTGAAGGAGACTCCAGGTAGTTTCCTTTGGATTGGTGGTTTGGATTGGTGGTTTAGTGGTCTCTACAAGACCCAGGGGTTCAAATCCCCAAGCCACCAATCCAAGTAAGGGTCACCTGAGATAGGGAAGAAAGCCGGTGGAAAAAACGGTAAAAGACGGCTAACACCTACCGTGAAACCAGCAAACAAACTTGCGGGTGCGATGGGTGGGGAATGACCGACCCAGGGTGTTTTCGGAATCTCACGTAACGAAGGTGAGAAAACACAAAACCTGCTGGCGCGATTGTGGAATGAGCTGGAATGAACGGTTTTGGAGATTTCCGAACCAAGGAGACCACCAGGATGGTGTAAGTCTCCATGACCCTTAAAAAATGGTTGGTCATTTCCCAACATAATGGGCTCATGGACCCATTTTCAAAGGGTCATGGAGACTCCAATTTCCCAGATTCCCTACTGAGCACCAGCAAGAAAACCCCTAGTCTTCGTGTTTTCAGAATACCCGGAAAGGTTTGGTTTCAAGGGTTCCCCAAACCATGTAGGTGATTTGATACAAGTCCCCACCATTCCCCAGCAAATTCTTCCCCCGTGAAACTTCATTCCCATTCATGTTGTTGCAATTTTGTTAGGCCTCCGCCGAGCCCCGCGACGTGTGAGCGGGGCAGTTGAAGCTAGGAACCGAACAAAGGGATTCCTATGATGTGGCAGCCCCCTTGGCCAAATAAGATTGGGTACGAAGCCTGAAAACCCCATTTGCGAGGTGTAGAATCAGAACCCCAGCCAAATGGAGGTCATGGTTTAGATCACTGTTTAAGCACTCGGCCTTTGGTTCTTGCCTTCAACAAAAACCAGGAGCTGGGTGGAAAACCACAAATGTGCCGAATGCGTTGCGTGGAGTTACAAGCCCCCTAAATGGGGACTGGGTTTCTAGCCCCAATTGACGAGGATATGTGCGGCATCCTTGATGACCCAAATGAATCAACTGATGGACTGTTGGGGGGGTGGTTATCCCCTCTAGAATAACCACAAAAAAACAAGGTAAAAAAAAAAGAAGAAACGACTGTGGGTCTGTGAGTACGGGGTCCAAATTATCTAGACTTGCGCGTATCACAAATCCGTTTCCGATCGACCCCTGTGTGACAGTCCCAAATTTTGCGGTGTTCATGCTTGGTTCAAAGCGAAATGCCAAGAGGAAGCTCCAACCATATTGTTCTTTTGGGGGAATACATTCTTTGGAGCATTTCGGCTTCTCCTCAACATCCATTGAGCCCCCAAACCGGAGTTCGGTTCTCCCTGTATGTTCCCTGAAGCCAAAAACATCGGGTTCCCCCGGCAAACGGAACCACCTGGCTCCATGACCCTTTGAACATGGCTCCATGACCAACCATTTCGGGAAATGACCCACCATGTCTGAAAAAAAAAAAAAACAGAAGGAGACTCCACGCACACCGGGCCTTAGCCAACCCAACGACCCGCGCGAGCGCGCGCGAACTTGGAACCCGAGGCTCCAAGGTGCAGAGGACCTGCGAGCTTTCGAGGACCTCCACGGAGCCCCGGGTCACCAGCCACAGCCCCGAGTTCTCCGACTTCGCCTTGATCCATCCATCCCGCGCTCTTTGGACCGGAGCTTTTTGGTTGGGTCTGGGCTGGGAAATTGGGGGAGGGGGGGAAGCAAGTTATTCTTGTTTGTTTTTTTTGGGGGGGTGTTTATGTTTTTCTTGTTTCTTTTTTTTTGCGGGGGAGGAGCATGAATTCTTGCCTCACTCCTAGGGTTCAACCACCATGAAAAGAATGGCGGCAAGGACCCAATTCAGATGACGAACAATCCTTAAGTAAACAATCGGCTTTTCCATTTGTACCCAAAATGGCCCAACTTGTGTGGTTGCCATTTTGGGTGCAATTGGACAACCCTTGGAGGGTGCTGGTGATCCCCCATTTTTCAACGGTTGTTTGAACCCCGGGGTCACTGCAAAGCTTCGCCAGGCAATTTCTTCGGGATTGTAAAACTCTGTATGCCTGTGGCTGGCATGTGACGGGTACAAAGAAAGGGTTTGAGGTTGAGGCAAGGTTCCAACAAAGTTCCGGGAGTGGTGTGTCCTGTTCGATGCTGTTCGGAACGTCCCTGGTCCCTGGTTTTGACCACGCTCTTCAAAAACGGGAGCAACAAAAGGGAACCCGCACAGATCCATTCACACAACTTCTCTCACCAATGCAAAGACATTCATCGTTCAACCGGCCCACTTCTTCCCCCCACCCCCATCCATCCCTCAAACCACCCCTTTCCCCCCCCCCGGTGCTGTTTGCATGCCGCCTTTATCGCCGGCTTCTGATTCGCCGGCCATAAAAAACACCCAAACAAAAAAACGCCAAGGTCCAAAGTCAGCCACAAAAACAAAAGCAAACGACGCCATGCAGTTAAAAAGAGAACGACGCCATGCAGCAAAAAAACAACAACAACGAGGCGCGAGGGTTTCGTGCAGAATGACGCGCTGCGGCACCGTGAAGAGCCAACATTTCGCGACCCGCGCCATCGCGCCCACGACCTGCGCTGGAGGCGCTGCTGGCTGCGTGCTGCGCACTCCAAGATCATTTTTTGTTTTTTAAGGTCTCCTGAAAAAGGGACCAACTCAATAAAGGACACTTGCATAATATTTGTCGTTTTACAGGATGGAACCAAAAAGACCAGGCAAGTCAAGCAAGCCGAATGGTTTTACAGAATGAGTCACTCCCATCCTTCCCGGTGGCACTCATGCCTAGTGTGCTTACGCTCAAACGACTCTGCAAGATGGGATCTTGCCACATATCGCGGCAAGCTATTCTTGGTGGAGCCCTTTCAAAAGGGTCAGATTGGAAACTCCAGGTAGAACAAAAACATGGTGCAGCTGGTGTTGTTCACCCGGATGCGACTGCATATCGAATGCCGCCTCCTTCCGTAGGGATTGGCAAAAGCCATGTGCTGACAGCTCTTCCTCAGCCGGCTAGCGGAATGATTGAGAGCTAGCTGGAGTCTCCACACTCAAAGATGGTGGAATCTACCAAACAAAAAGTAAGGGGTCGTGACCCCATCCTTAGAAGGGTCAGATCCGGAGACTCCAAGTACGCCTCATACGTGGAACAGCTTTGGGGTCACAGGGACTGGTGAGTGAAAATGCTCCATGAATAAGACGTGCGAGTGTATTGTCTTAGGGAGCCTTTTTCGGAGTTTAGAGAGAAAAAAAAAGGGAAACCAAAGCCCATTTGTTTCTGTTTTTAATTTTTGAAACAAACTCACACGCTCAAGGTGTATAACAGTGATGCAAGCTTGGAAAGATACCACTTGTAACGTAAGTCATTCGAGAGGTGTGGTTCTCACTGGCAATGAACAACACACGGCGGAACTTGCAGACGAGCCACTCTACCACTTCACCATATCAGCCAGGACTTCAAAGAACCCACATCCCATTGCTTCCTCTCTTCCCTCTCCATCTTACAACAGTTACTAGCAAGGAAAGGGAAGAAGATGTGGGAACCTATTAAGGAAGCAAACATAAAGTGATGGGAGAAAGGATGACCCACCTTCCCTCACTGACTCACTTATCCCCTTCCAAGACTATCAATCATCAACAGTGGATAGGCCAAAGAGGGAAGTGGGTGAGTGAGAGACAGCCCCAAACGGCCGCGAAGAGCATGTGCCAGACTACATGCCATGGATATCTGGGATCCGAGCGATATTGCTCAAGATAAAGGCGTGTCATGTATGATGGCTTGTGGCATCTGTTGGCCTCGGTATCAGCCTTCCGATAGCCTTGCGGCCACCACACCCAGTAAGTCAAAGTTCATCAAATTTCACTCATGTCAACGGCCCTTTGACTTCCGCCCCCTTCCGCCGTGCGTCAAAGCCTTTAAAGTCCAAATCTGCAGAGGCAGCTCCCGCATCGTCCATGGCTCGGGAGTGCCCATTCCACGATTCTTCGGAATTCTACTGGCTGGTTCCAAGCAAACAAACTGAAAACACTGCCTAGATAGTAAAGCACACCTGTGTCAGACACACATTGTCGGAGACACATGATAAACCATGTCAGACACATTGTGGAATTCTCGCTGCCACGATTGCTGTGCACGTTTGCCGAATGTGTCTCTTGCATGGCTTTGCCGAGAGCCGGCGCTAGTGTTGCTCTGATGATGCTGGGAAATGGCGCTTTTTTGAGGGGCTGCCAAGAAATAACCAATTGTTAAGGCCACATATTGATCGCCAGAGAAAATATTGGTTAATGCCACGACAAATGGCCTTGCTTTTGGGACAACCTTTGCAAAGAAGAAAGGAGCACCATCCATCGATGCAGCTGTGCCATGTCTTCAAGTGGTCGGCATGCGTCTTGCTACGATGGATATACACTATGGCAGCTATCTCAAGGTTGCTTGTTGCAGGTCTACTCGAGGCAGTTCTACGGGCGGTTGCGGGGAACTTCAAAACCAAGCTAAGTGGTCAGAGGGCAATCATGTTCGTATTATGCCAAAGCTGTCCTGCTCCGTTTCCAATCTCCCTGCTAAAGGCGCCTCCGTGCCGCCTTGGGCGGCAAGGAGGCGCGACTCCAAGCGGTGCCCCCGCGTCTTGCAGGGGCTGCTCACTTGAGCTGACGCCGACAGGAGCAACGAACGAGGAATATGAGTGCATTGACCCCACAGTATGACTGTGTTCTGTATTCAGTTGTGTATACATGCACATGCATAATTGTGTGCCAGTTGCCCTGAAAGGATGTGAGCCATTTTGCCCCAGTAGAAAGCGCTTCCTTGTTTATCGTACTGGCGCTGGTTCCAAACAAACAAACTGAAAACACTGCCTAGATGATAAAGCACACCTTGTCAAACACACATTGTCGGAGACACATAATAAGCCATATCATACGTCAATGGTGATAGTGATTCATCATGGATGAACAGGCCTTTCCTTGGCTATGAAAACACAGATCCCTTCCAAGACGCATTTTGCACGTTTTTCTCAAAGACATACCCTTGCTACATGGCACCTGGGAGGCTGGAACCTTCCCCTTGGAGCCTTTCGGGTGCGCCAACGTGGGGAAACATCTCGAGCGCCTGCAAGGCCTCGAGCAAACTGCGAAGGCCAAACCTGCCGAAGTCTCTTGGGCGCTGGAAAAAATCCGGGGAAGCCTCTGTTGGTTGGCTTCAAAGGGATACCAGGAAAAAACACATTTTGGTTGGGGGGGGGGTCCCCCAAAATAAGACGCCCACAAGAGTTAGCAAGAGTCCTCGCGCCCAACGAGGACTAACAATGCCACGCAAAGGTCAATTGCATAGTGGAGAATCCCGAATGGTTGGCTGTTAAGACATCTTGGCTATCGCCAAACCAACAAAACTCATGACGTCGTGTCACAACATATCATATCATATCATAGCTTGTAACATGAACCTTACATAACCTTATATTAGTGTGCCAAATGCCATACATCATATATACCATATAATGTCATCATATATCACATATCATAGGCGATTGCGTCAAATACCATATACGATATATCACAACATCATGATCACCATCCCCATCCCCATTCCCATCATCCCCATCCCCATCCCCATCCCCGTCATCATCATCATCATCATCATCATCATCATCATCATCATCATCATCATCATCATCATCATCATCATCATCATCCCCATCCCCATCCCCATCCCCATCCCCATCCCCATCCCCATCATCCCCATCCCCATCCCCATTCCCATCATCCCCATCCCCATCCCCATCCCCATCCCCATGATCCCCATGATCCCCATCCCCATCCCCATCCCCATGATCCCCATGATCCCCATCCCCATCCCCATCCCCATCCCCATCCCCATCATCATCATCATCATCGTCGTCGTCATCATCATCATCATCATCATCATCATCATCATCATCATCATCATCATCGCCATCGACATCATCGCCATCATCGCCAGCATCGCCATAATGATCGCCGTCAGCCCCGTCAGCGCCACCGCCACAGCCAAATTGCGCTGTGGGCTGATTTGGGAACTCTGATTGCTCACTTCCAACATAAGCTGCAGAAAAACGAGGGGACTGGGCTGTAGGCCCATCCAACTCATGGAGATGTTACCATAGTTTCCCGCACGTCACCGGCTGCAGAATGGAAGAAATCGCCTGTGACAGAACCACAAGATCCTCTGCTAAGCCGCTCAAGGCAACGATGCTTCCAAGAGGAACGGTACCCTGGACAAGCAGCCGATGAAAACCGCACTCGCCAGTGGAACCCTCTGTGTGACAGTCCGTATTCAAAGGTCTGCCTTCCTTTCTTGTCTCCGCTACTCTGGCAGCTCAGGTCAGGGCTTGCCTCAAGAATACACATCAAACGACGACCGGAAAAAGGGCCCTGGTAGTTAAGGCACCCCCCCACATAGAAAACACGTGCGCATGTTCGTGCGTGGAAACAAACACCTGCCACTCACGGCACAGGCCAGGCTGACAATCGTTCTGCTGGCTTTGGCTCCTGCGGCAGCTCGGCAAAGTCTGCCAAAAGATCCAAGTTCTCAGTAGCTCCGGTTCACGTTTGGGGTTAGACATCTCTATGTCTCTAGCATTCTAGCTGAGAGTTCGGCGCTTCTCAAGAGGGCATCGGCCCTTCAACTCTGGCTGTTTGCCCTTGATGTAAGAATGGACCTTCGGTCTCCTCCAATGCTGCATGGTTGCGATAGATGAATCTGCCGGTGGGAAGGAACGGGTTGAGAGCTGGATCCAACCCGTGGTGCATGTGTGTCAGAATGAATGGCTTCTTGATAAACGCTAAATGCAAAGCCAACCAGTTGGAGGCCTACCCAAAAGACGTCCCCCTAAGCACAACTCACCTTTCATGGGCCAAAACGGCGATATTTAAAACCTCAATGAAAGGGAAGCGTCGGGACCCCTGCACTTTTGAAATGTGGACCACGGACAATGGACCAATCCCCATAATTCGGGAGTCCATGTCCCTCCCAAATGGGCCATCACATTTGGCCCATCCTACCAGTTCTTGCATGTTTTAGTTTCTTTCTCCATACTCCAAAGATCAGCCCATTTACACTGGTTGAATATGTTGACCGAGCCTGGATTGTCAAAAGTTGTCAAAATGGTTGGCTTCCTGTTGCTCCGTGACAAGGGTTCCCCTTCGTACAAACCAGGTTCCCACGACTTGCGCTGGCGCGTTGCCTCCTGTGGCGCGGGGGCACCTGCGACGGCGAAACCCCAGTAGATGTCTCAAAAGACCTCGTGTTTCTCAACATAGACCCCTTTTCGGACCGAGGGCACCAAAACGAAACTTCACCCATTTTCAGGGGCCCGCGATTTTGAGTAAAACACCTAACAAGTACTGCCTTGATTGACCTTGGTTGCTGCTGACCCCTCTGCAAAAAGCTCAACTTGTGGGTTCAATTCAGAAAGCCCTTGAAGTCTCCTTCTGACCCGAATCAAGAATTGTTGGTCATGACCCATGGGGTCATAGACCCATTTTTGCTTCGGGTGATCCGGACATATTCTCTCATTTCCTAGGTCCTCCAGTAGAGAGGTTAGAATAAGGGTACCCTTCTTTTCTGTAGTCTAGTCTAGTTAGGGGAACCCTCCCCCAAAAAAGAAACGGTAAAAGTGCACTACTGTGGGACCTAGTTTCTGTCCAGGTAGACTTAAGATCCGTTGCCCACTCGCCATCCCCCCGCAACACAGAACTCGGCCTGCGGCCGGCTCCGCCTCTTTGGCTGGAACCTGGCAGCTCTTTGGCTGGGTGGCTCGTTCCTTTTTCGAGGCGGTGCCCGTGTTGTGGGTGATGCAGGGAAACCAAAAGGAAAACCGCTGCACTGTCATGAACTGTTGGCATCATGGAGAAAAACAAGCATTTGTTGTGCTACTGCTGAAAAACCGGGCAGAACCAAGCAACATGACCAGCCCTCGAGGCTGTAAGGCATTCGCGCGGCAAATGAGCCACGTTTTCGTTTCAGGGCGTGTAGCGCTCATAACATGATCAACAGGGGGTTCAGCATGTCCGGCAGCTCCTGGGAAGGGAGGCAGCTCCTGGGAAGGGAGGCAGCTCCTGGGAAGGGAGCTTCTTTGTTCACCCACCCAAGACTAAACACAGCCGCAAAATCAACCCCAACCCATAGCCAATCTTTGCTGGGCTGCCCTCAGATCCCCCACTGAAAGTTTGACCTTTGGGTTAAATCATGAAAACTACCACTGAACACTAACAAGAAGCTAAGAAGCTAAGGAACCGGATGGCTGGGAGCCAAGTTTAAGCCATCGCCAAGTGTGAGATGAGCTCCACGCCTTCAATCCCAACAGTTCGGCAACAGCTCGGCCGGCGCGACGTCGGCGAAGCACCTGAGAGATTTTGCTCTTGATGGCCTCTTTTCGAGGTGGGGTGGCGTGGCCAGAAACCAGGTACCTGGAGTCTCCTTCTGACCCTTTAAAAGTGGGTGCATGACCCCATTATTTTGGGATATTTTGGGTGATGACCCCATCTTTTACGGGTCATGGTGACTCCAGGTACCGGGAATCTCCGGATCTTACCCAAGCAAGAAGCATGAGCCCTTAAATTTGGTAGACCTGTTCAAACCATTTAAGGGTCTGGACCGAGGTTCCTTTCTGGGGCCAGTTGGGTGTGCGGTTTTTTCAGGATTCCAGTTCTTTCTGGGGCTGTTTCAAAGGAAACCAAAGGGACCAGCCATGTTGAAGTGCATCGCACAGTGGAACACCAAGTCTCCTTTTTAGGGAGTCGTAAGCACCCCGACCACCCGCAATCAGAAATGTGGACATTTCGGAAAACGAGCTTCCCCGCCGCAGCAGTCGCACTGACGCGCTCCATCAATATATGGCATGGCGCTTCCGAGCAAGCAGGCCCGCAGCTGAAAACAAGCCGTGAAATCACAGGTGCTGCCTTCAAACAAACCGTCTCAGAACATTCAACGCACACTGGCCTCCACACCTCCAAGG